ATTCCCAGAATCTTGTGAAAGTGTGGGTTGTGATGACGATTTATTTGTTTTCCCGGATCGCTCTTCATCGCTGCTTGAAATGACACTTTTAGGTTTTCGTTTTTTAGATTTTTTATGTATTTCAACATTCAAATCAGTCGATGAATTAATTTTTGTAATTTTTGTTGACTTTAATGGTTTTTGGAGCTGTTTTCGTTTTTTAACTTTTTTTTGTATTTCAACATCCAAGCCAGTCGAAGGTGAGTCAGAATTTAGTGGTTTTGGGGGTTCAGATTGGTGCAAAGATTGTTTGACAGATAATGAATTCCAATATTCATTAACTAACTTTTGAGCAAATCTATTTATGATATTAATCATACAATTGGGATTAAAATGATTCAATGTATAACACGAGTTTTTCAAAAGAATACCTACACATTTTTTGACAATTCCCACGTATTATCTTTTTCATCCCAACCATCCCATTTAATGAAATATTCCAATTCACCCTAGAAAATAAATAATAATTATTAATAAGACTTTCTAATTTCTTTATTTTAAAGAAAGGACGTATATACGTCATCGATAAATCTATGGTCCACAATTTTTTCGACCACGTATTCGTCATCCTCAACATCATCATCGTCAATGTCGCCGTCGTCCATACTTTCTTGAGTACTTAGTTTTCCATCTTCAGGATCGAAACTATATGGAGATTCTTCCCTATTCCAAAATTGTGAATCCAACTCCAAAGCAACTTTTTGTGAAAGTTCCAACTTTGAAAAATTTTCGGCTTTATCATGTTCATCGGAAAAATCCATAAACGTCTCGTCGTTGGAATTCTCTAAAGTAGTTGAACGTTTATATTCATCATTTTCAACATGGGAATTGCCTTCACCGAAAACAATATTTCCACCCATGAAAAAATTACCGCCGTAAATAATGCTATGACTAACAGCACCATCGCCGGGAATATCGTTATGAGGAGTCATTATTTTTCATTTAATCACAAGTAAAGATAGAAAGCTGAAAGTTATTTATGAAGAAATAAAACAATCCAATGACATCATTAAGTTTGAAAATTAATCATTTTGAATAATTTAAACCAAGAAACTTTAAGGTTTTGAGCAAAAGTAGATGATGTAAAAATAAGTTTATATAATAGCATCATCATAAACCAAAACACGTAACACTAAAATTGAATTTCATTCCGAAGAAAACACACACTTGTTATTATAGATATGAACTGATGTATTTATTTAAGCCACTACAGTTTCAAAACGTTGCTAACACTAATGAATACTAAAAAAAATACTAAAATAACAAAATTTTTTTTTTCGAGAACATTAAGGCAATAAGTCTGTACGTTCACATTGTATTTAATTTATCACCAAAGAAAAAAAAATTTCTACTACCGAACGCATATTTATCACTATCATTTGTTTGTAAAATAAAAAAAAATTTATTGGTGATACATTTTATTCGCACCAGTCTGGAGTGATTTCAGCAATTTTTTCTTTGCGTTTTGCAGATTCAACTGTAAACGTTAATGAGTTAATTACATTTTCATAGAGACATAAATATCAAATAAAGTTTATTAAGTACAAGTATAACATACTATCAAACTTGATACATTCAACATTATCCTTTTCACTCCTGACATCGACCGGCAAAACTTTCGGTTTCTCACACCCACTAATGTAAATCCTTTCAAGTTTACATTTATCCCCAATTTTGTTAGCGTCAGCAGATTCACTTAGTTTAGTTGTCTCTTGAACATCTTTTTGTTCTTTTGATTGTTCCAATTTCTCTTTTTTCAGTCGTCTTTACAGTGGTGACGTAGGGAATAGGGCATTCTTTATAGCATACCTTTTCATCAATAATATTAAGATCAACGTATATATTTTCCATTGTTATTTAGAAAATACAAACACTAAAAAAGACTAACAAGACGAAGAAAAAAACATGACACTGTATTTTTGCATATTTATATAAATTTCGAAATAATGATTCGATTGCATGTCATTATTATCATGTCATTATTCTGATGAATTACGTATTTATGATAAAATTGGATTACTATCTATTAACTTGTTATAGTTCTCTTTTTTTTTTTAACGTTAACGATCAAAAAAAAAAGAAATTCCGTTTTTTTTACCACTGCTTTCACATATTCAAAAGATGAATAATGAAAATTACGGTAAAATTCAAATGTGGATCACAATAACGACGGAGTGAAACGAGTGTATGGCTAATTCGAGAAAGAAATTATGTGCATAAAATCTAATACCCGATTGGTCGGCGTGATCATGATTGTCACATCTTGCTTATTTTTCAACTACCATTAAAAATCACACTGTCGAAGCCACAAATCTGCTCTGCTAAAATGAACACTCACCGTTGATAAAATCTTCACCTACTGTTGGAATCATTAACCTATACACTACCCAAATCGTGAGCCCACCTTCTGTTGAAATCACATACCCACCTATTGTTTAGATTACCAATCTACCCACTATGTCGAAAGTATGAACATACTACTAAATCATGAATTTACACATTATTCAGGCTATTGAAATTATTAGTCCACATATTACTAAATCAAAACCCACTCACTATTTAATATTATTAAATTTCCATTTACCCAATGATGGAATTATGAATCACCTCACCATTATATCACTAATACCCTGGCTCAACTCTCTCACATGACTTTTGTCAGGAGGAAATTTGTAACTAGTTAGTAAGTTATTAACCTA